CGATGCCCAGGCGTTTCCGCTCTGCGTGGGCAGAAGGAAAGCGGTGACTTGGGGTGCTTGGACAGCCTGCTACGGAGCAGGGGCACAGAGAGGAGGATTCTCTGAATTCGCCAGCCCTACAGTAACCCCCGCCCCACAGCCAGACCCATCTCGCCTATGGCCCGGCTCCCCACAGTAGCCAATGCCAGATGCCTCAGAAGGAATGCCCAGGCGTTTCCGCTCTGCGTGGGCAGAAGGAAAGCGGTGACTTGGGGTGCTTGGACAGCCTGCTACGGAGCAGGGGCACAGAGAGGAGGATTCTCTGAATTCGCCAGCCCTACAGTAACCCCCGCCCCACAGCCAGACCCATCTCGCCTATGGCCCGGCTCCCCACAGTAGCCAATGCCAGATGCCTCAGAAGGAACAATCAGAGCAGGCAGTCACCAGGTGATCCCTCCCATCGTCCATTCCCAGCTTCTGGCAAGTGAGGCTAGGGACACTTCAGAGCCATTGGTGGACCAGGGACTTACCTAGTACTTTTTTGAACCTTGTTATAGTCCTGGCTTTCACATCATCCTGTGGCAAGGAGTTCCACAGGTTGACTACGCATTGTTGCTGCTAGTTGCTCTAAGTTCCCCAACACCAGTCCTCCCTGCGTGCCTCAAGATGGAATGCCAGCTACCGGGTGCCCTTTCTAGGCTCCAATGCAGGGTCAAGAGGGTTACTTCCAACATGCCTGCACTGGGTGAGCGACCAGTGGTGTCTATTGCCCCAACAGAGGGAGTAAAGCAGCAGGACGACGTGTTCGCCTGTGACCTGTGCCACTAGCGCGTGCTGCTGCAGGAGCCCCGGGACGAGCTCCGCCGGGCCTCCCCTCACCCACCGTTAAGGCAGCGCCGACGGTACTTGTGGTACACGTGTTGCGTGAAGCCGTTCTCCTTGAGCAGCTCGTGGGAGGGATGCTGGAACTTGGGCAGCGACTGGGGGGTGCAGCCGTAGCTCCCCACTGCCGGGGTTCCTTCCGAGGGGCTGGAGCTGAGCACAAGACACGCCCGTCAAACCACCTGCCCTTCCTCGGGCGCAGCCAAGGGGGAGGGCGCCTGGGGTGGCAGCCGAGGGCGGGGAGAGGGTCCGGGGGCAGGAAGGAAAGCAGGGCTCTGATGGTCTGCACCATCGCCCCCGGCATCCTGCTGCCCGGTGGGCCGCGGGGAAGGGGGAGGGCGCCTGGGGTGGCAGCCGAGGGCGGGGAGAGGGTCCGGGGGCAGGAAGGAAAGCAGGGCTCTGATGGTCTGCACCATCGCCCCCGGCATCCTGCTGCCCGGTGCACACGCTCCTCAGGCCTGGCCCGGTGTCTGGCCCAGAAACCAAGACAGCGCAGAGACGTACAGGCCCCGGGGATGGGGGCCCGGGGCTAGCAGGGCCCTGCCACGCACACACGGCGGGTTAGCTCCCTACAC